TTGCTACTGCTTTGACAGTTTAATCATCTACATTTATTTTTAACTAAGACATAGTTATAATTACTATCTTCATCATAGAATGTTGTAAATCAATTTCGTATTTAGCATTTCTATGTTTAGTGCCTCTATGCAATATAGTTTTATTATCATTTAAGCAGTCATCGGGTTCAATCACATTTATTGAAACTGATTTATTGTTCTCTTCAAATCTGTCAATGTCCCTATTGCCACTTGGAAAATGTACACCATCCCAGTTCAAAATATCATCTTTCAGTTTATTTATAGTGGAACATGTCCTCTGGGTGATGTTTGCTTATTTTGTCATAGACTTTGGATTGAATACAATATTTGAAGCATTTTTGGTCTTTATTTCAATATTGATACATGCCTTTTTTTGTTTAATCCATTCTGGTAGTTCTATGCATCTCCCTGCTCTTGTTGGGTCATATTTGTCATAGTGAATAGTTATTGGTACAATCCGTTTAAATCTTAAATTAGATGTTGAACCTTCTAAATTGTGTATTTGTAATCGGATTTGAATAACACTATCTTCTAATGCTTGTGTCAGTTCATCCTCATTACTAATATTGAAGCCGGTTGATGGTAGGGCATATGCAAGTTCCTGACTTCCTAATTCATTTCCTGCATCATCATATTCAGGTTTTTCAAACAATCCTTCCGTTCTTATGTTAAGTTTCATGCTTCTATTATTTCTTAAAAAACCTGATAGTCTTTGTTTTTGGTGCGCAATCATTTCTAATCCCCTTTCTCCTTGAAAGTGTCTATTTTCTAAAACTATTGAATTAGCGTATCTTCTAAATGCTGATTGAATATCTTTGACCCTAAATTGTTTTCTTCTTGCGTGTTTGGTTATTAATTGCCTAACCCTTTCTCTATTTACAACATCCGTTGCCTTTTTCATAGCATAACTTATGTATTCATTAGTTTTCTTTAGTTTCTTTGTTAAAACATTTGATATGGGTTTGTCTTTGTTGTATCTGAATTTCTTATCATCTATTATTATTGACTTTGATTATGTTATTCCTTTTTTTGGTATTTCTGCTTTATTAGTATTCAATAGATAGTCTACATTTTTCATCATAATAGTATATATTTATTTAGTTAATTTGTCTTTATGTAGATGTTAAAGAACTCTATGATTTTATTATTTGAATATATACTTAAAGAATAGTTATGTAAGTATATTAGTAGGATGGATTGTATGAAGGATTTACCTGTTGATGTGTTGAGTAAAATTGTTTCTTATAAACTTGGAGAACCTGAATATGTGAAAAGAAAGCATAGTGAAGCATTGAAGAGAATACAAAACAAATATAAAATGTCAAGACTTGGTCCGAAAATAGACAGAAAGAAAAGACAAAGAAACAAAATGTATATAATTGAGTATTGTATTATGAGAGAGGGAGTGCAGGGAGTGCCATTTAGTTTGAAAAGTATAGGAAACATCATAACAGAAGAAAAAGCATAATTACTATCTTTGATTTATGAAGAAGTAGAAGAAGATATATTAAATTTTAGTTAGAGTTAAGCTTGATATTGAAGTCCAAATAGTAGCAAAACTCCCACATAAAGAATATGGAGACAATCAATTTAGTTATAGAGAAGTTTACTTCATGAATGACTTTGATGAATATGTAGATGAAGATAATATAGACGATGTATTGCATAAAGCAGATGAATAAATAAATACCAACATAGAAGAAGACAAAGATAAAGATAGTATATTAGGCATACAAACATGTCATGTTTGATTAACAATTATTGAATATATTTACTACTAACATATTTCTAATAGTATTTATTTATTATAATTATGGATTTGTAAGATCGGATTATTGAAGATTAAGGGTTTATCTCTATTGTTGTTTGCCGTTTTGTTTTATATATTGTTCTTTGCTTGGTTTGTTTTTTTATGTTGTTGTTATAGGAATTCTTGGAAAATACATTTAAGAAGATAGTCATATTTATATGTATTGGATAAATTTTGTAGATGCTGTGTTAAAGATTTACCAATTGATAATTTTGAAGATGGATTGAAGACTTGTAAGAAATGCTTGGAATACACGAGAAAGAACTACGACAAACATAAAGATAAAGTGAATGAAACACGAACAACTAAATATAAACAACATCAAGAATATAGAAAAAAAACAGGAACAACTACAAAACTATCGTGATAAAGTTGCCTTTTGTAATGTATGTAATTCATCAATGAAGGCACAATGTTATTCAAGACATTAAAAAACAGATAAGCATAAAAGGAATTTAGGAACGGTTGATGGATAGGATGTTGTAAAATGAATAAGGTAATAATGCGTTTGACTGCTATGATTTTGAAAAATGAATGAGGTAAGTATGCTTTGACTGCTATGATTTTGAAAAATTGAATGAGGTAATTGTGTTTGACTGCTATGATCTTTGAAAAATGAATGAGGTAAGTATGCTTTGACTGCTATGATTTTGAAAAATTGAATGAGGTAATTGTGTTTTGACTGCAATGATAATTGAAAAATGAATGAGGTAAGTATGCTTTGACTGCTATGATTTGAAAAATTGAATGAGGTAATTATGTTTTGATATTGTTGAGAAAATGAAGCAATCAACAATATTCAATCTGACTTTTTGGACTGTTATGTTGTTTTTGCATAAATGTTGATTTGTTGTACTGCTATGATATTAGTAAAAAGAAAACTTCACTCAAACAACTTTCTTTACATTTTTCACTCCCCCTTCTGGAAAGGTTTCCCAGTGTTTTGAGAAGCTGGCGTAAGATCAGCTTGGTTGTTTGGCTGCAATGTTCAGCCGATGTGAAGAATGACAAGACATGGAGAATGCACGGAGAACCTCACATATATTGGAAATTGGTTGTGGATAGTCACCAGGAAGCGCATCCAACCCACACTCTGACTCCAAGACAACGCGGATTTGGTCAAGCACGCGACGAAGTTGTGTTTCTCGTTTCTTGGAGCCCAGGCATGTGGGACAATATTGCCAGCGAAGCAACTGGAGCGGTCGGGTTCCCTAAATTTGCTGCATTTGCCTTGGAAAATCAGCATGTCGATTGATTTATGGGCTGTTGTTTTGACCTGTCGGACATCACATGACTCAGTAGGATCTGCATCGGTTGGCTTAACTAGGCTACACGAATTTCAGGAGACAAAAGCAACAAAGATCCACAAAGTTTTGGGCCTCCCAATCGCGCGATGAGGCCGGCGCGGTGAAATATGCCGCCAAGGGCGTGGCTGGGGCTGCTGGGAGGCCTAGTAGGCACACAACAACCGGGCCATGTGGGCCATACCCATCAAAGCCATTGGATCTCGGATGTTTGGACGCTGGAATGGTCAAGCACAAAACTCAAGAAACTTCTCCACATATCGTCGCAAAGGAAGTTCTCACTGGACAGTGCTACATACAGTGTGTCCTTTTGGCACGTCGACGTAGCTGTTCAAGATAAACTTTGGGCACAGGTGTTGTGGGTTAAAACCAATGCTTTGTTTCGTTTGTTTGTTTGGTAGCACACTGAAAGCATTTGGGCGAGCGAAAACGGCTCTGGCGCTCGCCGCACGGCGCTCGCCTCGAGGTGCATGGCGCTGTAGGGGTCGCCCGAAGTGGCCCGATATCCAAGACTGTCGGAAGCAGTCGTTGCAGTCGGGCAAAAAAAGGAGAACAAACGGGTTGCGTTTAGTGCATTGGTTGGCACAAACGAAGCTGAATCCAAGAGTGAATTTTGCTCCTAATCAGCTCAAGGGCGTTTGCTTGAGGTGGCACGGGGCTTTTGGTTTTGGTGGCTTCAGTTGGTCGGGCACTTGGAAGTTAGAGCGTTAGAGCTGTCAAGCGCCAGTCAGTCCCACATGTTGCACAACATGCTGGCTTTTGTTGGGCCATCACTCGCACTTTCGTGCAGCTTGAAACGACTTGTTTGCGCAAAAAGCACAGACCTTGCAGAAAAAACAGGTGTGACATCAGCCTTGGTCTATTTTTTCGTGCGCCTTGGCAGCAGGTAATCTCACCTGCCAGAGAAAAACGCGTCTGTGGCATGACGGCTGCAAGTGTCCACTTCACGCAATCCGCGGTTCAAGGTGCTCTTGGGGTCCCAAGGCTGCCCCTTCGCATGGCGCCCAGTGCAGTGAAGAAGGGTGGAAGAGAATGCGAAGCAGCTTGCCAACTTCGCCTGCTCTCAGGGGTGGCTTCATTCCAGCAGCTGGGTGCTCAGTGCGGATGGATGTCGTCCCAGCTTGCATCTTGTTCATTCTTCTTCTGCTTCTTCTTCTTTTTCCTTCTTCTTCCTTTTTGCTCCTTTCCTCCTTCTTCCTTCTTCTTCTTCCTTCTTCTTCCTTCTTCTTCCTCCTTCTTCTTCCTTCCTCCTTCTTCCTTCCTCCTTCTTCTTCCTCCTTCTTCTTCCTTCTTCTTCTTCCTTCTTTTTCTTTCCTTCTTCTTCGTCCTTCTTCTCTTCTTCCTTCTTCTTCTTCCCTTCTTCTTCTTCCTTCTTCTTCTCCTTCTTCCTTCTTCCCCTTTTTCTTTCTTTTTCTTCTTCTCCTTCCATGATCGATTCAGATGATGCTTGCGAAGAACAACACCCACCGTGGGGCTCGAGCCCACGACCACAAGGTTAAGAGCCTTGCGCTCTACCGACTGAGCTAGGCGGGCTGTTATTGAATATCTTTTTTTAAACTCTCTTTTTCATAGTTATCGCTCATTTTGCCCACTAAATCCCGAGCAGGAGCTCCTGGCAACCGCTCAAGTTGATGTGTCCACACTGTCACTGTCCGCCCTTTCTCTCGCTCGCTCGCAGTTCTAGATCAAGAGACAGCTCAATGGCACATTTTGACCTTCCACCTACGCGCACAACAATTGGGCATGCTCAAAGATGTCATCGACACAGCGTTCAGCGTCAGGATTTTCACCCATCGAGCTGAGCCTCGCTGGAAACCTGATGGAAGCGACCATGGATGAGGTTGCTGGTCGTTCTACGAGCCACCAGACAGTCTGCGCCATCATCTCCTGCATCTGGGCCATGTCCAGCTGGGCGTTGAGCTCGAAGCACCGTGAGGCTGCCGTCCATGTGCGCGTTGAACCGGGGAGTCCACAGACCAGCTTGGATAGCAAGGGAGGACATGTGCCAGAGGAATGCCCACAAGGACTAAGCGGCGAGTTGGGGACTCACTGAGGAGGGGGCCCACAACTAACGCAGTCGACCAAGAATGACCCATCATCCGGCTCCTTGACAACAAGAAGATCGACAAACAGCCAGAAGTACATGAAGTTGACCCGGCTGGCCAACGAGAGTGTTGACAATCGCGCATGAGGCGACTCATGGGCAGGGCAGCGACCGAGGCCTTTTTCAATGGTTGGAGGCAAGCGACGGCTTGAAGCGTGCCAGCTCACGCGGACGATAGCTGAGGTTGGAATTGGTGGTCGTTCTACGAGCCACCAGTGAGCTTGTCGTGGTTTTCGCCTGCTGTGCTGGTGGCAGTGGAACGGTCCGACAGCTTTTGGCCACCCCGCCGAGGCAATCAATGTCCAAGCCTTCTTGGCACCTCATACATCAGACACCTTCACATGGCCTCTCTTTGGCTGTGATGCTCATCTGGGTCATGTCCAGCTGGGCGTTGAGCTCGAAGCACCGTGAGTCTGGTCTGTCTACTTGCCGTCCTGACTCTCCTCCAGGCTGCCGTCTGCGCTCGGCCATGCGGGGGTGGAGGCGCGTCGAACGGGGACGTAGTCCCGGTCCCGAACTCCTGCTCAAAATCATTTATCGGAGTGACATAGTGACCTCCTCTTGATTGTCCAAGACCGCTTGAGGACATGTACCAGGACGAGCACCACGTCCAGTAGAGCCGCGAACTTGCTCTGAATGACTTGACCATCCCCAAACCGAAATTGCTCTTTCTCAGGGACCACCTTGAAGAATCAGTTGTTCACAATTCGGTTGGTCTGTGTAGGTCCCCAAGTCCACCATCGTCTTCGAATGTTCCTGACCGGCCAACTTGTCAAGGGCCCAAAAAATGCAGAGCCCAGTCTTCATGCTGTGGATGTGACGAGGGAAAAGTCACACTAGGCTTCTTCTTGATCTCACGCACCCTGTTTCTGTAATCGTGCACGTTGCTGACGGAGTGGCCGTCGCGAGTGCCTTACTTGGCATGCCATTGAGTTCGGTCAAGTCGTCGGCTCCCAAACTCTCACCATCTTCTTCATCTTCCAAGATGGCCACCAAAGCATCCAGCATCCAGCCGGCGGAACCGCCACCCCGCGCCCGTGGAAAAGGGCTGCTCACCCATTTCCAGCATAGCCGAAATTACCTTGGTCTCATCTTCCACATCACCACCGCAAGCTGCCTAGCTTGGCGCTATCAAGCAAATGGCCCACATACAAGTCAGCTAGGCTGGTCAGGCCTCGTTCTCGCGCCGGTATATCTCCCCGCGATTGATGAAACTCTCAACACTCTCATTGTTGGCTGGCGGCTTCTTGACCGCATATGTCGTGGGCCCCCTCATTGCCACCGGTAGTGACCTGCCTTCCAAGCCCAGCTAAAAAAAAAATCACTGTCCTCCAATACTGTTCCCAACTTTTGCCTGGCCGGGCAAAGAAAGTCGGTGGACCCGTTGGGCCAGCAGCTGCGCCAGCCAATCGCAATGGAATGGCTCTCAAGAAGCTGATAGTGGGAGCAGCTGGTCATGGTTTTGGGAGTCCGGCTGGCACGGACCAAATCATTGGGGCTGGCAAGGTGAGCCACCAGAAATTGGGAGACTGACTTGGAAAGGTCGAGCACATCAGAACAGCCCAAGAGGAATACGCGCCACATGCTGGAGGAGCTCCCTCCACTCCCGATCCGACTCCCCATCCGTCAGAGGAGAAAGTGTCTGTGAAGCGCTCATCGAAGAGCTCGGAGAAGACCAGTTGTCACACTTGGGCTCCTGTCAGGGAAACTGGGGAGCCCAGAGGTTTAAGCTGTCACCGTCCATGTGCGACTCATCCCCTTCCACTGTCCCAGCGCTCCTGTTCTCGCTCGCTGTCCACCAGGATCGCGGGGTCCCCGACTCGCCTGGCTCTCTCCTTGGCTCGTCATCCTCAGGCTGCGATGTAGTCCACGACATGACAATGTAGGAGCACCGGCAGCGCAGCTCCTCTGCCAAAGGTGACGAGCTCGCCTCCTCTTGCGTCACGGCGCCCAGGGCAGAATCAACCCCCCTGGCTCAAGCCTAGCCACTACGGCCACCCACAGCCCCCTACGGGCTACTCCTTTTTCATGCCACGCTGCCTTGGGCCGTGACAGGCTCCGAAGTCACAGTTAGGAGCGAGGTGTTGAAAGCATTCGCAAAATCCAATGTTTGGGTTGTTACGGTTGGCATGGAGCCAGTGCCGGGAACAGTGCACGCTTCAGGTCAGAATCACGCGGGCATTTTCCTCCTGCTGTAAGGTCAGCGACAGGATTGTTGAAGCCGCTCAGCCAAAGCCGAGGCACTCTCACCAGCGTGGCCGGCCACGGCACGAGCAACTTGTGTCCAGGTTGCGGGGGCTGGCAGTGCTGGCGCTGAGCACGGGCACGTTGGCATTTTCGTGGTGTTCTGCACACAGCTCAAGAAACGCTCTCAAAACTTTTCAATACTGCGTTGCTCACGCCGTGCAAGGTCGTTTCTCCCATGTCAGGGGCAGCCCAAATGACCGGAGTTGCTCAATGCCCTGCAAGCAGCGAAGTTTCTTATGCACAGCTCAAGCCAAAGAGAACGCGCTAAATGAGAGATTCCCAACCCTCCCGACATTTGCTAGAACACTGTAGCTTCCAAAAACATAGCCCAGTGGCAAAAAACCACACAGCTAAATCTCCTCAATCGCAAGAATCGGAAAACTTAGAACTTTACAATCTACCTTGATGTTTTTGTTGTCAATGACGCTCTGCGCGTTGCGCACTAAGCGCAACAACGTGCACATGACACAACTGCTTGTCCGTTTTGATGTCTTTGCGAACTTTGTAGCGGCGCCTGCAGTTTAGAATCGTGCACTTGGACGGCTCATTGCAACTCGAAAACTGTTTGGGATTAACTTTTCCAAGGCCGCTGCGTTCCCACACCCGCAAGGGTGGCCAGGCGCAGGATCTTTTCAACAGACCACCCTGAAGTTTGTCCTGAGTAGGCTCACCTGGAGAAATGAGTGTGCAGGGCAACTACCGGCCGTGAACGCCTCAGCAGGGCAGAAATTGCAAGTGGGTCGTGGATTGACAACTGCCGTTTGGTCAATTGTGAGGCCAGCTACGCGCACTAGCTACTCACAGGTCGGCAAGTGGAATTGGTGTTGACACTCACACAAAGCCAGTCAGTCTTCCATTACAAGGACCAACATGTCGCGAACTAGAGACCCAAGACCCTATTCATGTGCGCCTACATGCCAGAACAGCTTCGACCAATTTCACACTGCACATGGTTTTGTTCCATCAAACCAGCTTGGAAGACCAATCCAATCCCAAACTGCAGTGCTTTACAGGCTGGAGGCCTTTCCTTGAATCACCGTTATGCCGGAGGCCAGATTCTGAAGCGTCATGTTTGCCGCGAGGTCGATGGGCAGCAACAGCATGAGCGTTTTACGGAGTGTATGTCATTCTTGGTTTGTAGGTTCTGCCTACCCGTGCAAAACTCAGAATTGAACGCCGTCACCACAACAGATACAAATGAGTTTTGTGGGTCAACAACAGAGCGGTGGACTTGTGCAGGTTTCAACCCAAACTTTAATACAGCGAACTGGACAGCAATGGCCTCCAACCCATGTTTTTTGACATGGCTCTTCAAGCGCCTGAGGTATGGGAACCTGCCTGGCCGAGATCCGCAGGTTCATACCTTGCAATCTCTCTCCTGAGAACCTGGGGCCAGGCTGTTTCCAACATTTCCCGTGTCACACAGGAAGAGCCATAAGATGAGGTGGTGCTTGCTCGCTTGGATTGTAGGTTTTTGGGTTGAAACAGCCAACAAAGCAAGGTGGACAATTGGTGCAGTATTTTGCAGTGCGAACTCAACGATTTTGAAAAATGCGGACATTTTCAATGGTCAAGATGGACCCGTAGCTCAGGTTTGCTTCAACATTCTGGAAAGAAGCAGACGCATACAATGTCAGAGACCCACTCACAGATTCCACATTGATTAAACACTGACTGCTTGTCTATCGAGCACCAACAATGCTTGATATCCAGCTTGATGAGCGTGCGTCGCCACACCTGGTGACAGGGCCTTCTGCCAGCATGTGTTGCCGGCAAGCAGACGTGCTAATGTCCCTTTAGAAGCACTTGCCGTTGCAGGTCTGGACCCCGTAGGGAGAGCAATAGTGGAAAAAGTGTGGCCTGAGCTTTGCTGTCATTTGTGGGCGTGGATTAAATTCGATCGCGTTTTGAGACACTGTTTGGAGGGACAGGGTTTAGCTTGGGTTGGTAGTTTTTTGGGGGGTTTACCAGCCTTGATATTTTGGAGGGCAGCGTTTCTTTTTTGATCCGGGCATCTGTATCGAAAGCCCGAGGATTCGCTTACGATTTTTCTTTTGTGGCGGTCAGGAGGGGATTGTGCAAGAGGAGCTGGTGGAACACTTGCACTAGTCACAGGACATCTCTCTAAAATCCCCGCATTAGTGTTCGGTCTAATCTCATACTTCTGAGATGCTTCTAGCCAGGGTGTTGTGCATGCGACCTGATGAAACCAATTATTGCTCTGCCCATTGCTTGGAGACAACCATTGCCATGTTCTTGCTGATGAAGCTCTGTCTGCTGCTGTCTTGAGCTCCAAGTAGGCCCCCTGCTCCGCATCTCGTGCTGGGCACCCAGCTTCCTGTTCCGGCGGCGAGCAGATGTTCTTGGTTACATGATATATGTGGAAATTGATTGGGAACGCAGTTGGCACAAAAAAACTACCAAAGCCGAACGCCAGCTGCTTGTGCTCGAGGCTGCTGCCGCTTCTCAATCTCCAAAAGTGGAGACCTGTCCATAGTTCATTTTGGTTCAACTTCTCGAGTTTCTTCGGGATGGATGTGTGGGTATTGTTCATGACCCTAGCGCTTCTTTGCGGTTCGCTCCACTTGCGACTCACCCAGAGCGATTGGGTGACGTTGCGTCGATGGATTGCATCTGTCATAGAGCCTGAGGTGTGAGTCTGCAGGGCCTTTTTGGCGCTTGAAATATAACGCATTAAACATGCAATTGGATTTCTTAAGGATGGGACATGGGACATTGGGTGAGTGATTGGGCGTCAGGACTGACTCCGCGACATTCAATGTCATGTTAAGTCCAACTAGCTCCCTCAAGTGAGATGCAACCTAGCCGTTTTTGAGGGGCAGAATCTACTCCCAAGTCCACTTCATTTCAACTTCCTGAAATGGCTTTCATTTGAAGTGCTCTCGTGCAGGTGCTGGATGCGCTGAAGGAAGCGCGTGTGAAGGAGGAGATGGTGAAGCTTCGCCAAAGGCATTGCAGGTTGCTCAATCGCTGCTTCTCTCACATTGTATTTGTGACCAGTCTTGGCTTGCTTCACCAAGCTCTCACGGCACCTGGGCTCGACACAATTACTTGGGCCAGTGTCGCAGTCATCTCTTATTTTCCATTGGCGATCGTCGGGGAGGACTCAGTGTGTGTTTCTTGTCGAAAAGACACAGTAGCAACTAGTGGCTGGATGTGGGTGGCAACCGGCCACTCAGTAATCTAAAAAAATGTGGGGATTGTGAGTCCCAAAGCACTCAATCATCCAAAAGTTTTTCTTCTACTTAGAGGCCCTGAAGAAACTTTCAAGGTAGTATCTGTGTTTGAGACTGCTAGGTGGTAGGTGGTCTTGACCTGTTTGACTTGCAGCTTGGCCCAAGCATCGCACTTGCAGCGTTGAGTGAAAAAGATTTTGCTCGCTGCGCAACTTTTCGCTTTTGCGCGTGTGACGCGCTAGCTACCACTTGCTACTCTGCATTGGTAGCGGAGCGGTTCGCTCCAGCGACCGCTCAAGGCCATGGCAGATGGCCTGGAGGTCCCAGACTGATCCTCCGAGGAGGGTGAAGCTCACCCGGATGGCAGCGACCATCAAGCCACGAGCCGAGGCAGGACCCAGAGCAGAGCTCATAAGGGATCCGATGAGGCACCGCCTCCGAAGGGCAAGAACAAAGGCAAGCGAGACAACGGCGGCTCCAACTATAAGGGTGGTTCCCACAAGGGCAAGTCCAAGGGCGGCAGCTCCAAAGGAAGCTCCAAGGGACGTGAGAAGGGGCGATCAGCATCCAGGAAAGGTGAGGAGCGCGATCGCCATCAGAAAGGCCCAGCAATGGCAACAACAGATGCAGTTCCAGCAGATGCAACAGCCAATGTCATATCCTACCCTGGAGGTGATGCTGCACCGAAGGCCAAAGCCCAATCTGGGTGGCTCGACGCCAGCCCGAAAGGTACAGCCAAAGAAGAAACAGCATGCATGTGGATCCGCCACCAGGGATAGCAATAAGTCCGATGAGGACGAGTATGATTCCTCTTATGGAGAAGATGAGGAGGAGGAGTCGAGGCCAACCAATGACCCGGTCGTGGAGCCAAGCGATCGGAGTGCCTCAGCATTGGGGCAGCCAAGGCAAAAGTGAAGGCCAAGGCCTGACCGAGGCAGCCAGATCCCGCTGATGCCCGACCGGCCGCAAAGGTTGAGGCAACGCCGGCTCGCAGACGCCGGAGGAGGGACCGAGGGTTTGAAACAAGCTCAGCGGCCAGGACGTCGGAGATCCGTGAGATGCTCTTGCAGAAGGAGCGCAGGCCTGGTGATCGCTCAAACCCCTCGCTGTCACAGGTGCGCACTGAGACCTTTCGCGGGAGCAGGTCGCACTACCGTGATTGGAAGCGCATCATTGAGGCACAGCGCAACCTGCACAAGCTGGCCATGCTCATCTACGTCAGGTGCCAGGGAGAGCCCCGCCAGATCCTCAATCACCTGAACATCAATGAGATGCAAGAGCCGGGCGGCTTGGGGCGCGTCATGCGCCTTCAGGATGCCTTTGGTGCCTGGCCTACAGGCGGGCACCCGGCCAGAGCATTGCAGCATATCTCCACTTTGAAGCGGCTCTGTGGGGAATACCTCAGGGAGGAGGACAAGGAGACCACGATCAGTGATTCATCCCATCTGGCTGAGCCAGTCGAGCCCAATACGCAAGATGAGCCTTATTCCTATGAGGATGTGGAGGACAATGCCGATGAAGAGGACCTGGAGCAGGAGATCCTTTGTGGGAAGAGTTTTTGTGGAGGAGGACGAAGAAGAAGATCTGGCCGATGTTGATGACTTGAAGGAAGCATACGCTTCATCAGAGGGTGAACTGGACCTTGCTGTTCTCAGCCGATGGCTGGGACCTCTTTGAGGCCTATGTGGCTCAAGAGGAGGAAGAAGAAGCTGAGCCACAAGACATCCTGCCTTTCTCAGCAGGCCCTCTCACACCTGAGAAGAGAAGGCCGAAAAGCTCAAGAAGCACCGCGTGGCTCTCAAAACGGTGCTGGAGGCACTGATTGCTGAGGAGGAGGATGAAGAGACACAGCAGAGGCTCAGGAAGAAGGAGTACAAATCGGCAGAGGAAGAGAGACGGCTTCGGAAGTCCAAGGACGAGCCGAAGAAGTGTGCGCCTGAAGCCAGGCCAATGGAGCTGGACCTGAGCCCAAAAGAGGTTCTCCAAGTGTTGCCCGCGCATGTCATCGGTGGAGAAGCAAGTCTTGTATAAAGCCTTGAAGAAAGAAGTTGCGGGAGCAGCAGCTGACCGTGTCCCGGACTATGACGAAGAGAAGATGGCACGGGCAGGGCGCCGCAGCGGTGGCTATACATGTCACCCCAAACCAAGGCCAAAAAGGCCAAGGCAGAACAGCGGCGGCAGCGTCGTCGAGTGCGCGAGTGACCGGTGAGCCGCCAGCGTCCCAATCGCAGTCCAAGCTGCCTGATGCAGCGCGCAAAAAGCGCTTGCAAGAATTCCGCATTGGGTTGTACCAGACCAGCTTGGACCGGCGTGGACAAGTTCGACCATCAGATGCCTCTGACGTTCCGACGGCAGAGCAAGCGGCATGCCCTCACCCTTAGAATGACCTGCGGTGGGGAGGAAACCGAGCAGGTTGTTGGGCTACGCGCCGCAAGTGCCACATGCTGAAGGTCCTGTACTACAGTATATGGAGCACTCCCACGCAGGTCATCCTTGACACAGGATGCCGAACAGCAGTCGCGGGAGCCATTTGGCATCGCAACTTCCAGGAGAAGCTGAATCAACGCCAGCTCCCATACTTCCCGGTCAAGCGCCAGGAGACCTTTCGCTTCGGAGCAGGGGAGCCGGTCATACCCCCATTCGCTGGCTCCGGTTGGCGTGTGCGCAACACAGCCTCCGACTGTCGGGTGGAGCGGTGTCCAGCCTTAGTTGGCCCAAGTGAGATGGCCAGGTAGGTGGCATGTCTCCATGAACTTCAGATTCAGTGCAGGTGTGACGGAGATCGCTGGCCACGTGGCGGAGACCCAGCTGTCCAACACCAGGCGCCCAGTTCTTCACGTGCTTCCGGTCCGGTGAAAGCCTGGTTGACACCAGAACTGCAGCAACTGAAGGAGACATTGCTCAAGGATCCCTACAGCTTGGCGCTTCTGCAACAAGGTTTGGAGAAGGCAGGGGACACAACAGAGGAAGAGGAGCTGGCAGCCCCGGAAGAGGCTGATGCGACCACCAAAGCCGATCGTGACTCTTCATCTTGATTGGGGAGGATCCAATGGACGCCTTCGTGGTGGATGAAGACGAAGGCGAAGTGACAGCAGCTCCCCGGCGGAAGGTCGCCTTTTACTGGAAGGGGATGACCATGCTGCACAAGAAGCGCGGGCGAGGTCCGCAAAGCCTGTCTGAGTGCCAAGGGCAGGCAGGAGTTTGAAAAGCTATGGATTGAGGAGCTGAAGCGTGTTCTGGTGAATGAGGTGATGCTCCTCAAGCTGAAGCAGAATGGCAAGGAGTTGGATCCGCGCTGGTTCAATGAGCAGGAGAAGGCTTTTGATTTCAGTGATGCGAAGGAGTGGGAGCAGTGGCTCCGCTCCGCATGGTGAGGACCAACAAGGCGGTGGCAGCGACCCTGCCACTTGTGGCCAAGTCCCGACTGGTTGTGCCTGGCCATGGGGTGGCTTCAGGACTGACGCTCCGACTGTGGGAGCCACGGCCACCAAGATCGCCAAGGCGATCGCCCAGTCAAGGGGATGGGCAATCTGGTCGTTTGATGTCACGACCGCGTTCTTGACTGGGGAACGCACGGATCGACAGATCTACGCGAGGGTCCCACCAAAGGGTCTGCCAAAGAAAGCAGATGGAGGCGGTGACAGGTGGGCAGCTCTTCGGTGTCTTGAAGTCGGCATGTGGCGTGACGGAAGCGCCCCGCTTCTGGTATCTCAAGGCTTGCAAGCTGCCGGCCGAGACCCCGCTGAAGGAGTTGGACATCGCCAAGGCAATGTTCACAGCATGGGATGAGCGTGGCACTTGGGCCATCCTGTGTTTGCGCGTGGACGATGGCCTGGTGGGATCGAAGTTCCATCATGAGATTGAGGTGGCCGGCCCAACAAGTGATGCCCCACCTCCTATGAGATCAGCCGGCTGGCGCAGCGGATCTCAGGAGCCACATACGGCGACTTCCAAGATGCCGTGAAGGCTTACAAGCTCATGATCCAGGAGAAGGATGCTGGGAGAGCCATCCTGAAGTATCCGAAGACCCCTGAAAAGACGTTCTTTGACGCGTCTAGGCAAGGAAAAGGACGGCAAGTCCCAGTTGGGACAGATCCGATTCATCGCCAACACAGGTGTTGAGCACGGACCCCAGATGGCAGCGGTGATCGACTTTGCGAGCTCCAGGTCGACCCGCGCGGTCCGCTCTCGGCGTCAATGTCCCAAGCCATTGACCGGCGCCTATGCTCGGTTGCTGACCCAGATGCTGCAGAAGGGCAGCTTTAAGCAAAGGTCCTGATGGTCCAAGGCTACATGGTGACAGATGCCCGGTCGCTTTACGACCACCTCACGACCACCGGCCAGGTGCCGCCCGAGAGGCAAACAACGTTGCCGAGTTCTCCAGAAAAGGGCCACTGTCCCTGAAGGAGACTGCTGAAGAAGCCACCCTGGAACAGCGCCGGCGTGATCTTCGCAGAGCCCAGCGGGAGCGGCGCAAGAAGCGCTTTGAGGACGGCGGAGCCGCCCAGTCACGCCAAGCCCAACAGGTCAACACACCCTTCTTGGGATGTGTTTGAGACTGCTAGGTTGCAGCTTGGCCCAAGCATCGCACTTGCAGCGTTGAGTGAAAAAGATTTGCTCGCTGGGCGACTTTTCGCTTTTGCGCGTGTGACGCGCTAGCTACCACTTGCTACTCCGCAGTATCCACTTTGCATATATGTTTCTGGATGTTTGGCCAGTCGTTTCTCTCAACCTTTGCAGGACTCGTTGAGTGTGACTCCCACGCAACTCAAACTGATCACCTGGTTCATGCACTTTCTGCAGCTGCCGCTCATTCTAACTTCCGGAGCCTCTGGAAGCCCTTTTGCTTTCGCGGTGAGGCAAGGCCTGGTGACGGTAAGCAGCTTTTCCTTGGGCATTCTTTTTCTAGATCCTTGGGTCTCCATTCCTTTTCAGCTGGTGCATTCTGCTGCAGAATTTGCAGTTCATCTTTCTTATTTTGAGATGCACCGTGTGCACATGGGGCTACTACTAATTGCCCAATTCTTCACCTTCGCAATCCACATCGCATGCATGGCATTCATTGACGTTGTGTTGCGACAGCGCATCAATGCCCAATTGGAAACTGCTGACGCGGAGTCCTTGGTATCCAGTTTCCGAAGGATGCTGCGAGGTGTTTGTGATGGCGAGGTGCTTCTAGATGGCCAGATGAATGTGGCACAGGAGAGTGAAGGTTTGAGGCATTTGATTCTCACCACAGTGAACTTGAAGGGCAGGTCATTTGAGCGATTGCTGATTGATGAGGAATGCACTCGTTTCACCAGGTTCATCCAATCATCCACTGAGGCATTTCTCACACCGAAGCCGGCGGTACCACCCGGTTGCTTGCGGACTTCTTTGCGAGGATCTGCTGGTATCAGGGTTGCTGCGGATGTTTTTCATGTGCCCATTCCAGGTCTTTTTGGGGCTGCGGAGCCATATCATCTCCTGGCTTTCAAAGAGGACACGGAGTCTCGAGCTCATCCAGAAGCAAATGAAGATTCAGTTCCTGCCGAACTTTTGAGCAGACAGCCGCGTCAAGCTCATCGGCCGGGTTCTAGGCCTGGCTCCACTTCGATGCTTTCTGGAAGCACAGGCAAAAGTTCATTTCAAGGATTTTCCGAGCTGAAGGAGATGACGTTACTGGTGGATGCGGGAACAGATCTTCAGGATGTGGAGCAGGCACACTTGAGGTTCATTCGCCAGGAAGTCTCGGATGCTTCTTCAGCCTTGCATTCTGGCATGCCCAGCTTGCGCAGGTTGGTCAAACCTTTGATGTGGGAGAAGTTCCAGCGCAGAGTGGTGAGATTCGCGGAGAGGTCTTCGCGTGATCCATTGACTCCACCCAAAGGCCTGGAGGGGCTCACGCTGCAGTGGCCCGGTCAAGATGGGTGGTTGGTGGCAGACGATGCCTTCTTGAAGCCCTTTCCCGGTGCATCGAATGAGCGGAAGGTTTGGCTGCACTTGCAGGGTCTCCATCCAGAGAAGCAACACCTGCGCGCAGAGCCGGTCTTGCACGGCATTCCAGAAAGACAAACAGCGGGCCCTAGAAAACCGCAGCCACTGACGTGATTTGGGGTTCAGCCGGAAAATGGAGCGGCGGATCAAAGTTGCTGGTTGTTTTTGTCAAGGGGACGCGCTCCTGCATTGCATGCTCTCGCATGTTCTTTCTTTGAGATGAGGTGGAATCATGTAGAAAAAAGATAGAAGGGTTGTTTTCTTGAAAGAATTTCCAGCCTTAAGCTTGCAAGCTGTTGGGACTTTGGCGTGTGAGAATCCACACTTTGCAGCCCGGGCCCACACAGACGGGAAAAGAGGGCAGTTGATGTAGCCGCGCCCATTTCCACAGAGACTCGTGCGTAGTGTAAAAGAAGACAGAGATGTCATGTGCAGCTCCATACACACGTGCGCCTCAGCGTGTGCTCTTCTTCATCATCAGTTTTGGTCCAACAGAATGCTCTGAGCTTACGTACATGCAAGCTTCGCACATATGGTTTGGAATTGCGAGCCACACTTTAAAGAACTTTCGCCATGGATGTCTGGGTGGTGTTGATCACCACGGTGCTTTTGTGGGGTTCGCTCCACCTGCGGTTCACACGGAAGGACTGGGCGAACTTGCGCAGATGGGCATCCATGGAGCGTCAGGTGGGTTCACAAGCCATCCATGGCACTCCACTTGGGGTAAGAGCGTATGAATCTGGGAGTTTTCGGGTGGTGTGATGAACTTGATGGCTTGTGTTTTGCATGGGGATGAGCTTGATCGTTCCAAAAGGTGTCACTTTGATGTGCTCCCGACGAGTTAACAGTTACGTTTTTGGATTGTCCAACTTCACTGCAGGTAGTGGATGCGCTCAAGGAAGCGCGGGTGAAGGAGGAGATGGTGAAGCTTCGCCAAAGGCATTGCAGGTTGCTCAATCGCTGCTTCTCTCACATTGTATTTGTGACAAGTCTTGGCTTGCTTCACCAAGCTCTGACGGCACCTGGGCTCGACACAATTACTTGGGCCAGTGTGGGCATCATCTCATATCTTCCGATGGCGGTGGTCGGGCAGGACTGTACATTTCTTGTAGTGGCATCGGAATGGCATCTAACACATCTAGGGATGATATCAATTTCCGACGGCTGGGGCCAAGTTGAACTGGCAAAAGCCCACGAGTGCTGCGTCCTGAAGGCGTCACTTTTAGGGTTTCATCCACTCTCCAGTTGTTTCTCTCAACCTTTGCAGGACTCGTTGAGTGTGACTCCTGCACAGCTAAAGCTGATTACCTGGTTCTTACATTTTCTGCAGCTGCCGCTCATTGCCTCTTCTATATGCTCTGCAACTGCCTTTGATTTCGCGGTGAGGCAAGGCCTGCAAACGGTAAGTCGTTTTGGCTTGGGCATTCTTTTTCTAGATCCTTGGGTCTCCATTCCTTTTCAGCTGGTGCATTCTGCTGCAGAATTTGCTGTTAATCTTTCTTATTTTGAGATGAACCGCGTGCACATGGGGCTACTACTAATTGCCCAATTCTTCACCTTCGCAATCCACATCGCATGCATGGCATTCATTGACGTGGTGTTGCGACAGCGCATCAATGCCCAATTGGAAACTGCTGACGCGGAGTCCTTGGTATCCAGTTTCCGAAGGATGCTGCGAAGCGTGTGTGATGGCGAGGTGCTTCTGGATGGCCAGATGAATGTGGCACAGGAGAGTGAAGGTTTGAAGCATTTGATTCTCACCACAGTGAACTTGAAGGGCAGGTCATTTGAGCGATTGCTGATTGATGAGGAATGCACTCGTTTCACCAAGTTTATCCAATCATCCACTGAGGCATTTCTCACACCGAAGCCGGCGGTACCACCCGTTTGCTTGCGGACTTCTTTGCGAGGATCTGCTGGTATCAGGGTTGCTGCGGATGTTTTTCATGTGCCCATTCCAGGTCTTTTTGGGGCTGCGGAGCCATATCATCTCCTGGCTTTCAAAGAGGACACGGAGTCTCGAGCTCATCCAGAAGCAAATGAAGATTCAGTTCCTGCCGAACTTTTGAGCAGACAGCCGCGTCAAGCTCATCGGCCGGGTTCTAGGCCTGGCTCCACTTCGATGCTTTCTGGAAGCACAGGCAGAAGTTCATGTCATGGTTTTCCTGGGCTCGACGAGGTGTTCTTGCTGATCGATGTGGATTCGCAACTTCAAGAGGTCACTCAGGTGGAGCTGAACTTTAAGCGCGATCGATGCGCAGCTTCGATGCCCAGCTTGGGCAAGTTGGTGAGGCCCAGTGAATGGGAGAAGGTCCGCTCGAGCGTGGCACGCTTCGCTGAGAAATCCTCGCGTGATCAGTCTGATCACCCGAAGGTGTTGAAGCGTCTCACTCTGCAGGTGCACGGCGGAGCTTCTTTTGGATGTTGTCGTCATGGAAACATACGAGATGAAACACTGGTTATCATAAGGCTGTCGGTCAAAACTGGGACACCCTGGTTGACCGAACACAAACAGTCAAGACGGTCAGACGGTCAAGCTTGGGCTAACATGTTAATGCTTGTATTAATTGTGTTTATGAATCCACGATCTCCACGCTAGCGGCAGATCGTAGACAAGGTTGAAAGGAAGCCACTTGCCGTCCGAGACTGCGGACCTCACACAAGAAGCTACTATATAGTAACAAGGTGCATCGCCGCTAGCAACAAGTGCATCGCTACTACTAACAAGAAGCGACCAGTAGCAAGGTGCCTTACCAGTCACACCACCTGAAAACACCACCTTCGCCGTCTAGACGTGACGAGGTGCCGGGGCAGAGTGGATGGATGCTGGTGGACGAGGCCACGTTGCATCGGAGTCAGCAGCCTTGGAAGCTTTGGATGCATTTGCATGGCTTTCATCCTCGGTGAGATCTCCTGCACCACGGTGGTTCTTGCGCTTGGTGTGCGGAGTACCAAAAAGGATGAGAAGGAAGGGAGGGAGTTTTGTGCGAAGTGGAGCTGACTGAGATAGAGGACTACTTTGCAGCCGGGTGTCAAGAATCAGTACTTTGAGGATTGCATCTCAGGCAGATGCATCCACCCCATCTCCATGCACTTGGAGGTTTTGGTCTTGTTTCTCACATTGGTAGCCCTGACTCCTGGGGAGTTGGGGGTCGTTTTGGGTGTTCAGAAAGCTCAAGCGACAGCCTGCTCCAAGCCTAGGAGGATCATGGCGGCTGGGGCCCTCAGGGCCACCCGCGCTGTCGTGGTTTGAGGTGGGAGAGGTGTCACCATCGTGGCTTCCGAAGGCAACATCACGATTGTTTCACAATGTTTGACCCCAAGACCACTACGGTAGTGGTCGGGCCCAAAGATGTGAAGAATCAGTTCTTTTTTTCATTCAATTGCAATGCTCAAGCTGCAGAACACATCTTCTCGACAAGTTTCCTCCTCGCTTTTTCTTGGAAACAGCCCTGCAGATCGGTCAACCTTCGGATCAGCCGGCATCTTTGGGGGGAATTCTTCGGCGCGGTGAACAAAGCACAAAGGACCGTGAAGTCAACCTTGTTGGGCAGATGTTACATGATTTTTACCAGAAGTTCCAGGTCCTGAGATCCTGCGAAATTGGAGTATCTTGGATGGATGCTCAGTCAACATCTCTCCTCGTCTCTGGTCTTCTTGGAAAATTGTGTGTTCAGTTTCCCAAGGATGTACGGGCTGCGGATGACCTCTATAGGAAGACCTTGCGCTTCTTGGTCTCTGTAGGGGAGCCTAACAGTGGGGGACGACGGATGTGGCGCGCCCAGGCAAGCTGGGCTAAAGAGAAGGAAGACTAATGATTAATGACTCCTCAAAAACAGAGACAAGGATAAAAAGGGTGCCTCTGAAGCAACACTCCCCGAACTAATCATGGAAGTGGAAACATGGTCGCTTGATGAGCATTTTCCGCACACCAAACAGGCGGTTTTCACTCCGCTTCCATGTCAGTGACTCGGGGTACTTGGGGTGTAAGAGTTCTAAAGCTCCATGGGGTTGCACAGGCTTCATTATTCACTTGGGTTTGGTGTTGAGGGCTGACTTGGAGGCTTTTCTGAGAAGTCACCCTCCAACTTCAATTAATCACAGATGTTCATTAGCCTTGGGGAACTTCTTCCCAACTTTCTCCCAGCTTTCAGGAGCCCGTCGAGTGGCGATATTGCTGAAGTCTTGTCTTGCTCGTTTGCCAGGTGGCTGCGGAACTGGTCTATCCCAACTACCAACTGCGTGGAGGTCGGACACTCGGACACTCCACCCGCCGGACACCGCAGTAGCGCCGTACTGCTCGAGTGGTTCACCCGTTGCCGCGCTCGTTGGGGCGTGGAGCTTCGCCAAACCAATGGTGTGCGTGGGGGGTGAAGGCCGGAGCCGTTCTCGGCAGGACATACCTTGGGTGATGGCGCGGAATCTCAGACCAGACATATCGATATCAGGTATCAGACATCGATGGTTTCTTAACTTTTCAACTTCTCTTCCCCTGTAGAGATTCGATCATAAAACACTTTGCAAGAGTCATTTGGTCTCCAGTGACCAATCATGGAGCATACGAAGTGTGTTTTCGTTCCTGTCGAAACAGACGGGGGTTTCGATGAGCTTGGAAAGGGTTTAAAGCCTGCTTCGCATGTTTTGGATGAAAGTGCTTGCTCTTATAGTCAACACCCTAACTTGGCTCTAACAGTTTAGAGTCAACACCCTAACTTTGCTCTAACATGGGTGACATGGGTTGACCAAGACTTTGCTTCTCTACCCACCTGGCTCTCCCGTTCCATAGTGATCTACCTTGTGCTCCCGGTGTTGATTCATCCTGCACTCCTGCAACTTTGTTCCGGGTATTTTTGTGATGGGCGATGGATCATTAGCGAACCCATGCGAAGTGTCTCTTGCAGTCTTCTGGCCTTGATGGTTTGCAACATGTGTGGGATTAGTTGTGGAGAACTGACCCACATGGTTTTGTTCTGGTTTGTTTATGCTTGTTGAGAGGGGTCCTCAATGGACTTTGGCATGTTCAAATCCATCTTCATCCATTTGGTATGTTCGCTTAAACATCAAGGCACGTGTTTGGGTTCCACCGACAGTGGTGGAATCATAGAGAATCCAGGAATGCGACGGCAAGCTCTATCAAGCCTTGGAATCCAATCTTTCGAACGCTCCTCCCATTTCCTACCTATAGACATAGATTTCCAAGCGGTTTCAGGCGACTCAAAAGAAGTTTCGACAAAAACAAATCCCGGAGCGACTCCAGGGGATGTTATATGATGCTATGGGAGAGGTGGATTCCAGAGCGCCCCTGAATCGCGCTCTGGCAACCAAGACTGCCGTGGCGCGCACGTAGAGTCCAAGACAGCCGCAACTGAGGCTTTCTCTATCAGCTGGAGGGTGGTGAAGACTCGGAGGCTGAGGCGGAGAGAGTTTTTAGATGTTCTTATGAAGGGTCTATGGCATCCGATGGCCCTATGTCATAGCCTATGTCCTATCAACTTGCTACATAATTAGGCATGTTTCTTCTTTAATGGTTGATTCTGTATGGTGTTCTTTGCGGATTTTGAGAGAATTCAGACTACCCCCGAATTCTGCGGGAGCCGGCGGCCCCACCTCGGCAGCCTCGGCAGCCTCGGCAGCCTCGGCACGAACACGGACGAACACGATTCGGAGGTGGAGGCGATTCGCAAGAAGCTTACGGAGCTGGTGGACTCGGGCGAAACCATTTGCCGTGTCACCAAGCCCTGGAAGAAGGCGCCGAGGGACCGTCCGATGCGGCCAGGTCGAACGGCCGTCCGGACCGCGTCCGGGTTGGAAGGGCGAAAAGAAACCGCACGCTGTGAACGAGCGGTTTCTTTGATCACAGCGCATTCACTGAATCGTTTGGGAGAAAAGGGGTGGATAATAACAATGGCTTACCAATCTGCTTTGTAAGTTCAACCTTCTAGCTTGTACTGAGAGAAGCCCCATGAGGAAGTTTTTTCTCGCCTTGGGTAGCAGCTATCTTCTTTTTTGTCCTAATGAATATGTCATTGATTGGGCCTGACAGTCTGAGTGGGTGGGATTTATTGTTGCGGATGGGCTGGGTCCAAAGCGGAACTGTTCTGGGCACTACAGACATCGCCCACATGCCAACTGAGTTTGGTGGATGCATTCAAAGAACATGTGCGCGGTTCAGACGCATCCGGGACACTTGGAACCTTTAACCCAAGCCTTATAAATATAGCTTGCTTACTAGAGCCTTACACCAAAGGAAAGAACCAGACTTACAACATCTTTTCCTGACCTTTAACCCATTAGGTTCGAGGCCATCCCTCTTAGGTTGGAGGCCATTGCACAACAGGAAAAAAGAAAAACAGAAAGAACGAAGACTTGCGAGACCCTTCCAGACCTTCAACCAATACCTTGAGAGGTCTTCAGACTTCCAGGACCTTCAGCTCTTCCAAACCTCGAGAGTCCCCCCTGTCAGGCCATGAGCTACTTCACCGAGAGGCGTCTAGATGCCGCTTGTGCTTTGCTTACCAGTCGTGTGAAGACCGAGGCGCAAGCATGCAGGAGTAGTGCTTCCACGGTGATGAAGAGGATGTAGTTCCTTGTTTTGTTTTTTGCAGTTTTGCACAATTTAAGCAGTTTTGGAGGGAACAGCTTCCTGTAGTTGCCAAGCTTACATCATGGCATGTATGATGGTCTGCCCTTGTGCCCACAACCTCTGCAGGTGCAGTGTTATGAGTGCCAGAATGTTCTCCGATTGAACCTTTTCCCCTTGCACGAGAAGGCCTCTGCGTTGAAGGTGCCACCCGGGGTAGGTTTCGTGGGTTTTGTGGCCTCATGGTGGCAGCAGTGTGTGCTTGATGTTTTGGCTGATGGCAAGTGACTATCCTTTATGACGATACATATAGAGCCGAGCTCAATTAACATCAATTAACTAATTTTCTGCATGATTGTGCACGTGTATCATCCAGGACTGACGAAACTAACTGACCCCTTCGCTTTGGGTCAGGCTGGGACCTTCGCTTTGGTTCGTCGACCTGAGATGCCTGGATTCGCGGCTCGACAGGGCAAGGGTTGTGAGAATTGGGGGTCGCACCCTTGGCAAGCCAACAGGCGGCTAAAGGAAGCCCCTCCAAGTCACTGACATGGACGTGGGAAACCACCTGCTTGATGGTGTGTCAGGGGCCCATTTTCCGCTTCCATGTTAGTGAGTCAGAGTGTAATATAGGTTCAACAAGTTGGTAGGAAGGTAAGTTTTCAGACAAGGCAGGGTAAAAGACTCAAAGACTAAAGAGCTCTTTGTACTTTCTCCCATAGCCGTAGCAGCTGAATTTCTGATTGTTTGATGAACTCCTCATTACTCAAAAGACTCAGCACGCAAACCGCATTGAACCATGTCTTTTCAGATAGACGACCGATTGCATTCCCTGAAATAACAACTTTTTCTAAGCCTTTCCCAAATCTCTTATCCACCCTGTTATTTGTCGAGGGCGGTCAAACCATGGTTGATTTTTTGCATGAGGACCATGCAGGACCATGCAGTCTCTTGGAACCTGTTCTCAGGTGGCTGCCTACACCGGCGAATACAAGCTACAGCCATCACCTTAGCGATCGGATCGATCAGCTTCGCTTCAAGACCGAATTGCAAGATGTTAGCCATGGTAGCCACATGTAGATTTGGTTGGATGCATTCCTAAAGTTGTTGGCATCTTATCCATCCACATGCGTGAAGCGTCACTATCCCTCCTTCTAGCTGTAAGATGGTTTTCAACCTCGAAGAATTGGTCATTGCAGCCCTGTTATTCGAGAAGTCGTGGCCCATGGTTATTTATGACGCAAACAAGTAGCACTGCCACTGAGTTTCAAGATCATTTTGAGGTGCAAAGGACATTTGCAAGTTTATGGTGATACCAGCCTTTAAGCAAGGCCAATCTGAGGAGCGCCGTCATTTTTGTTCCCAAGGTTCCATATGCCTTTTAAGCTAAAAGTGCCACCGTAGTGTACTTGCACATCGGTGTTTGTGTCACTAAGTCCAAATCTAAGCCTGTGTGATTGTTTCAGGTCTGCTTTGCTGATTTCGCATACGGATCACAAAGCCTTTTGCAAGGGCTATAAGGTGGGCATTTCCCGATGCTCAGATACTCCGTAGCTCAGCAGATTTGCAGGGTTCCAAACTGGAGGCTTGGGTTGACTTGGACAAATATAGACAGCGTCCTCAGTGGCGGGGTTGTAGTTGCCAGGCAGATTATTTCATTATATTTCATTTCGGAGATCAAAGATAGCAAAGATATCCAGTATCCAATATGTATACATTGTGTGGAGTACCCAACTATTTACAAGGGTCAGTTATTCTTTTTTTCAGAGCATCAACACTAGCATACCTGGTCTCAATCCTTTTTTTTCGGCAACAATTGGGACGCTTTCCAATTGTTTGCGATCACCACCCTTTGCTACTCGAAGATACACTAAACCCTAGGGAGAGGATCCCATTCTTGGTCGAAAACGACGGATTCTGTACATTCCTCAAAAACCGTACCGATTCCCATCACGAGTTGCAACGATTCCGGGCATGGAACCTCTGCCATGCGGTCAGGTGCGCTCCATTGGCGACCTCAATCAGCTGTCGCAAGTGGGTCGAGGTCGGAAAGACTTCGTGGGGGAGCTCGGTGTGACGGGAGCATCAGCTAGAACTCAGAACTCGCCCAGCTGTTCGAAGTTCATCTCCAGCAAAATCCCAGAATTGATCCTGTTCTGCTCCGTGCTCTCTTTCTCGCCTTCTGCTCGTGTCAGCGGCGCTCGCCGCTCGGCATTGCTCGGTCAGGTTTTGGCCTGTGAGTTTCGGCAGGAGACCAAGATCGCGGAGATCGTCGCCAAGGTCTGGGGACGATCAGAGACGAGGTGGCAGGTGGTGACTTTGTGCATACCTTAGCTGTAACATCTGCAATATGTTGTTCTTGTGGAAGTTGCTGTAGACTCCCTGTGGAGTTTTGAGTCTGGGCTTGTCTAGACTAGACCGTCTTGTTTATTTTTGTTATTGATTTACAGAGTTTTGGACACCCTGCCATTCATGTGGTTAGATTGAGAAGGCTGCCCTGTGTTTTCGAGCATTTGCAGGTCTTGACTCTTGTTTCTCTCCAGGGGCTAGAGATGTTGGTTTTATCATGTTTTGTGTGAATGTCCATTGTTTACTTCACAGTGCAATTTCATCAACTGCAACACCTTTTCAGGATGTGACATGTCTTTGCATATCCAGACATCCTCGCTCCTGCAGACCAGGTTCCTCACTCCTGCGGACCCCTTCTCCCGCGGACTCGACTCGCAGGTGAAAGAGAGGATGGCGGCCGGTCGGCAAGTGAAGGCTGGGGGGGGCCTGACGAGGGCGAGGGCCTTACGAGGCTGTCCACATGGCCAGCCATGGCCGTCAAGAAGGGAGGAACCAGCGTCAGAACTGCGAGACGCCTTCGACGCGAAAGACGGTGAACTTGTGAAGCCTCCTAAAGCCTCGAATGAACTGTTGATTTTCCTCGCTATCCCACAATGGCCCAGCTAAAGAAAGAATATGAAAGAGTCTTCATCCGCACATATCGCCAAAACTGACAAACATCTACTCACAACCTCCTGCACTCCCTACTCAAAAGTTTGATATGGTTTGATGGTCCAAAACTGGGAAAGACACACCTGAATGCTTCCAAAACAACTCAGGCTGGACATCTCCGGGCCACCAGTCCGACAGCCTGGGGCTGCTGTTCAGGTGATTTGCATCGCTGGGCCCACCTCATCTGGAAAGACCACCTTCGCTACCAAGCTTTGCATGGGCCCTGATGGGCAAGGAGAGGAGGGCGAGACCTGATGGGAGGGGATGGGCAAAGGAGGTGTTTTTAAGGCAAACTTCCCCAGTGCAATGCCGGCCTGGAATTCTGTGGTAGCCTCTTTCAAGAGTTTCTTTATCTCTTTGGAGCTTTTCAGACCTCACAGTTAGACTCCAAGGCATGTACCTGCAGAACAATGGCTTTGCTGCCAAGCCACTGACGGCTCGAGCCTTTGGCCATCGATCGGGAAAGATTCGCTTGCTTGCGATCGAGAAAGGATCCGATCCAGGAGTCCCTCCCCGAGCCCATTCTGTGGATTTTCTGGAGCGTTACATTGGAAAACCACATCCATTTGTAGAGAGAGGAAAAAGAGTCTTTCCAGGGCACCTTATGCTCCATGTGTGCCGTTTTCATCCATTTTCCATGGTTCCATACAGGGAGTGCAAGTTTCAGAACTGAACAGCCCAGTCGGACGTCCGACTCCAAACTCGCTCGCTCGCTCGGTCTCTAAAGTCGCTGAAGAGGAAGCCAGACTGAAGATCGAGACTTAATCACCAGACTTCATCCGACAACACTTGGCCTCAAGATCTCCTATTTGTTAGGTGTTCAAGAGGATTTCAACTTGATCTCACAAGTATGTAAAACTCGACAGGGTTTTGGATGTATAGACTTGGTCTGGTCTCAAAGGATTATCCCATCCCATTACCAGGGCTGCGCACACCTTTGTTTTTCTTGATTTTTGGGTTTGAAAACCAAAGAAGATCCCATCCTTTTGCTTCAGAACCGGTCCCACACCCTCCCCTCTCCTTAGGAAGGCCCTCGAACAGAGGGACCACTGAAAACGCATGCGTTCCCGCCCTCAGCGGTGAGGTCGACCACTACTATCTTCCCTTGGATCGACAACCCAAGTACCAGGACCCGCGAGCGATGTCGCACCGCAAACGGAGGAAGTCCTCCCCGTTCCGGGTCTGCCGTTTCGGCCCTGTCAGGTCTGATGTCAAGTCCGTTTGTTCTTTCTCAAGGTAGGACGTGTCGAAGTCTGATTCAGCTAGGGCCGCTAGGGCCTCTGGGGTTGGTTCTACTGAAATCTCTCAAAGAACCATGCCATGTGTCTACACTCGTTCTCAGTTCTCCGCCCTGCGCCTGCCCGTTCTCCGCGCACGCGAGGCGCGGAAGCAACGCAGCGACGTGGATTACGACCATATTGAGTCAATGGACGTCCAGCGACTGGGATCCATCGCGGTCGAGTACGGTCGGAATGGGTGTAGGGGTGTGTAGGATGTTGGAGGGGGTTGTAGCGGTTTCTAGGGTGGAACATCTAGACTCTAGACATAGTTTTCTGCTTCAATCAGGGCTCTGGAGGTCATGGGAGGTGCAGCCCAATGAGATGCTGGAGGTGCAGCGTATGGCCTTGGTGGACGACCTCAAGCGAAAAGTCTTAGAAGAGGTGAATGGTATGGAGGGGCACTGTAGGTATTTGGAGGTATGGAGAGGACACATTGGTCCTTAAGTAGATTCAAATATGCTGTTGTCATGTGCAACGTACAAGGGGCAGGCCTTTAGGTTGGGCTTGTTTGGGCCATGAACAGAATGGTGAAAAGCATGGATGCCAGTTCAACCGCACGACTTCACCCGGTGGAGAAAAATCACGGTGTCCAGGTGTTAGGACTGGACGTCCGGACCTTGATCCATCTTCAAAAACTGACCCCACAGCTGCATGTGTGGGATGGGAAGAAATACTGCATGCTTTCACCCGAAACAACGGATCTCTTTTCACCCTTCAACGGATGTTGCTTTCTTATGCTTTCTTGCCAGACCACACCTGGCATGCGACTCGGCAGCACGGCGTGTGAATCACGCACACGATGTCACGGGGTTGTATGTCTTGGGCCATGAGGCTCATTTGCGAGCACCTCAATGCCGCGAGCTAAGAGTTCAAGGGGATGATCTTTTGGGCTGAACAGCTTAGCAAAGACATCACAGTTGTGAGCGGACCAATAACATTGTTTGCAACTTCACTCGCTTTGAACGGGTGCTTGTAGATTCGGTTGGGCCTCACTCAACGTCCACAGAAGCATAGTCACATGTTGTATGAATCCTTGGAAAAAAAACACGTGCCAAAGCCAAGACGACCCGAGGATTCAACTCCGGCTTAGCATCCTTTCCTTCCGTGGGAAATGAATCTTCATATGAATCGTTCGAAGGTGAGACTGTGCTTTCTCACTGAGGCTCTGATTGTGGGAGAGTCGGTGATGACCCCCGTCGGGAACTCACCTCACTCGCTCGGAACCATTTCCATGTGAAGATGACAAGCTGTTGACAGGGGCCTAAAGAATTAGGGCAGGGCCTTTAGGGCAGAAGGTTCCATCGAGTGAACCGGACATATGGTCCACCAGTTTGCATCCTGTTTTTTTCCCTGTGCAACCCAAACAAATGCGTGCTGGGTCAAGACATCGAATCTTGGGGTGTTGTGAAATCCAATGTACCTCGGGTTTCTCTAAAACACTTTCTGTTTTTCCCTTCCTAACCCCCAACGTACTAAACCCATATATTTGACCCATGCTAAACCCGTACTTTAGTACACATTTGGAACACCTTGGGGTTCCTTTAGAAGCCCTAGGTCTTCCGGCCTGACCCTAGAACATGGGTATGCAGGGTGCGGACGTGTGTTTTGTTGTGACATCATGTTCTTCTTTTCAAAATCAAGGGCAAGCTCTGGTATTTGGCCAGAGCTTGGGGTTGGATTTTTGGAAGATCCGTGGACTTGACTCAGCGCCAAGGTCTACAACATGAAGACTGGATATCGAGATGGGTGAGCCTCTTGCTGTTTCTTCCATTTCTTCTCATAGCCGCCATAGCCCATTCCCTGGCCCTCGCCAGGGACGGCCACAAGTTTGATGCGCTGCCGGCCAACGGGACTGGTGCATTGTTCGGCGTGGTCTCGCAGGTAAACACTGGATACTCCCGCAGTTGAAATAGCTGGGTTCGGGCAATCAAAGATCCACCAAGCTGTTTGGGTGGATCCTAGGTGGATCAGCCAAGCCCTTCTGCCAAGCCTGAGTATGTTGTGACCAACTGACAGCTTCTTTCCAGGTTTCTAGATGTTTTGTGGATATAATATGATATAGAATCTGGGACATTGCAAATTCAATTTACTGACCCAGCTGATTTCTCTTGTTTAGTAACTATTGAGTACCGCATACAGGTTGTCCCTTTTGTGATCCTTTTTTGATCTTCTTTGGAATCTATAGAAAACTAAACCAACATTCTTGACACGCAATTTCGGATGCTGTCCTATATTTTAAGGAACACTGTAGCCTGCGATTGGACTCAGTTTTGCGCCTGCGCTCCTCTCTTCTGTGGAATTTCTACTAATCTGTGCGAGGATTCTGGTCATAGAGGGCATCCATGCCCTGAATCCCATGTACACAGAGGCGGAATGGGGCTGGCGCGAGCGAACACGAGACTAACCGAAAAGAGGCTTTCAGTCATAGTCTCTTCATAGCATTGGCTCCATAGCATAAGGGACTCTACACATCATCAGTTTGTCATTCTGAAGATGATTTAGTTTGATGGTGCAGTTTCCAGCTTGGCCTGTATCAACTGATCAGACTCGACCAAGGCTTCGCTTTTCAGACCAAGGGAGACGCGCTTCGTTTTCGCCCATGAACAACGCCACAAGCGAACTGTGTTTGTCAATCGGCTCCTGCCTTCGATCGCTCCGAATCGAAGGCGGTGGACGCGAACAAGGTCTTTCGGATCTTCATTTCGCCCTTGACAGCCCTGCAGGCGGGGAAGTGGAGCGGGCCCTACAGGTGGTGGGCCTGGTGGGCCTTTTCGTGTGGTAGACGATGTTGGACGATCGTGGACGCGAAGAAGCCTTTCCCGCTCTGGATCTCCGCCTGCAGAGAGGCTGAGTGATCAAGGGGACACATTCTTTTCGGAAAGGCCTGCTGGTTGCGGCTAGCTGGTGGAGGTAGATACGGAAGCTCTTCTGCCGCAGACCAAAATGGTCAGCACCTCTTGTTATCTTCACAGTCTGAAAAATCATCTTAGTACATCTTAGTACCCAACTGTGATTGGGAAGAGCTGCCACAACCAACCTAGCAGCCTGACCTGCTGTGATTCTCTCTCCATCCAACGGCCCTCAGTTGGACGATAACAACTGCGCAGGGAGCCTCAGGGAGCCGAAGAGGGAGCGATCGCGGCGATGGTGACGACCAAGCATGATCAATGGCTCGGATGCAACAGAATGACTCGACTCGAACGGCTTTTATCATCTTTTAATATCAAATCATATCAGCCGTTTGAGTCGAGTCATATCAAATCATTTTAAATGCATATCAAATCTCAACCGCTCGAATGACTCAAATGACTCGAATAACCGTACGACTTTGCGGCATGCAATTGGGCTATGGAGGGAAGGTTAGAGATCTCGACTTCATTCCTTAGGCCTGGAGTGGGTGTGCATGGAAAGGCTTCGAGCCGAGAACCTTTCGGCCTGAAGCCATCAAATGCCATAAATATGATTTGGGCAGAACCTTAATCCGTCGAAAAATCCTTTTCCTTAGCCCCTAAATATCCGGTTTTGGAGGCCTTATCGAGCCGAAGAGCACCTCAACAGATCGAAACACAGCCACCAAAACACGTCGTTTCTACATGTCTTTACCGCAAACGGATTCTCGTGATGCTCGTGCCGTGACAGGTGAAGACCACGGATCATCGCCTGCTACGGCGTATGTGCCGTGATTATCTCTTCCGGGGGAACTCAGCAGTCACTTGGCTCCAGCTGCAGGAGGATATATGCCCAGACAGTTCCCCAAGGCCCCACGGCCTGGAATGCGTTGATTTTGGGTGAGTGTGGCTGAGAAACATTGATGTTGAAAGGAGACTGTAAGTCTATTATCTTAAGGATCAAGGTTCAAGGAATTTCAAGGACACATGTATCAAACAACATGAGGACGTCTTTTGGGGAGTGGCCAGAATCCGTATTCTGTCGCGTTTCCTCAAGACTTGTAAGGCCATTCTTTGGTTTGATGTGCTTGTTCTTTTTGATTGGTATCACTATCACACACACACACATCCACCTGCATTTGTATATAGGAAAAGCTTGGTGCCTCGAAGCCACCTCGAAGTTGCATCCGTGAAACTCCCATGGTTATGGATGAACGTTCTCAGCACATCTTTCTGTGCTCAGGCGACAACTCTGCGCATGTGGGACAACGTCAGAAAGGGAGAGGTGGGACAGCGCTCACCACCATGTGAACCATCGGTGAACCATCGGTGAACTTGTTATGAGTTGTTATATTGTTTCTAATAGCTGCTTGTTCCTAGTAGCGTGGCACCTGTTACTACTAGTAAGGCACTTGTTCCTAGTAGCTTATTGTTTCCAATAGCTGCTTGTTACTAGTAGTAAGGCACTTGTTACTAGAAGCGATGCACTTGTTACTAGTAGCTGCAAAACATCGGCAGAACTTTCACGCTTTTCACGCGTTTCACTTGTTATGAGTGGAGCAATGAAGCAACACGGTGAGGGGATAATTTGTAGGCCAAAGAGGGATCCCCTCCGACGAAGTGGAGTGCCCCCCCCTGAGGAAAATCAGGGGGTGTCGTTGCAACATAGTGAGAGCACGTGGAAAACGTACTAGTAGCTTCTTGTTATATACATCTTGTTACTAGTAGCTTCTAGCTACTAATAGCGATGCCCTTGTTACTAATAGCGACGCACCTGTTACTAGTGGGGTGTTTTGCGTTGCGAGGCCCTGAGGCGACGCCTCTCACGCTAGTTTTGGTGAAAAAAAACAATCGCAAATCCAACAACCTTGGTTTGGTGCCACATAGACATGACGGTTTCTTCTTGCGATGGAAGGATGGCAGGTAAAATGTGGGAAAGAGGTTGGGTTTTCATTCACGATTCAGTGCCAACCACATGCTTCGAGGAAGAGAGAACTTCTTCAACTCGGTTTTTGAACCAAGTTCCTGTGACGCTTTTCGCTTGTGGCTTGCTTGAACTGCTTTCTAACTCTGAATGCCATGTGGCTGGCTCAAAGCCTTGTATGCTTTGGGATTTGGCTCCACTTGCACCTGAGCTCAGCTCCTTTGGTTCCCCCACTCTCCCCTCAGGGAGGTCCAGGTTCGCATCCCTCTTCACGCCTTGCGGCGTATCTATATGAGCGCCGGGGCCGGCTTACTCATTTTGATTGAGGTCACCCGTGCTACCGCGCGTGCTCTGAGGGGCCTTGCCGAGTCCCTTGAGGCTGCTGCCAACCGGGCTGAGGGCATCTCAGCTGGATCCTTCACTGGGCCACTTGCTGCTCCCACTGAGCCTTCTGAGGCCTCTACTTGGGACGTCGTCCCTCCGCTGCCTGCCACTCCTGAGAGGAGAACTACATCCTGGGCACAGGGGTCTCCGGGCTCCAACTCTTCTGCCTACGACGACGTGGCCAGGAGCATTCCTGATCTTCCGGAGGCTTGCATTGAGCTTTGCAATCGTCTCTCAGGTACTCCTTCTTCCGTGCCCGAGCTCTACGAGCCTGGAACGCTGGCTGTTGGGCAGGAGCAGTTTCGGAAGGCCGTATCCGAAAGCCAAGACCTACACCACATCTTGGACTTCAGAACCATTTCTACATCATCCTGCGAGCCAGAGGACTTGATCTTCCCACAGTTGTTACATCGGTAGGAGACTATCAGAGGCTGTGCCCCTTCGACGACTACTCGGTCAGCCACGCCTTCCCTCAATCTCAGAGGCCAAGGTTTACTGCCGAGGAGCTGGAGTTGTGTTTCCTGAGTGAAGAGGATGGCGGTTCCACAGCACATCAAGGGGACTCAGCCACCTCTTAGTTGAGAACGTCGAAGAAGGCGAGCTCCTACCTGGTGCCTCCTCTTCTGACCTCTCGCTGCACAAGGACACTTTTTGAGGGCATCAACTATGACACTGCCTGTTCCGGGGACTCGGCCAGTTCCTGCCGCAGTGAAGCTCCTGATGCCTCTCGCCGACCAAAGATCTCTGGAGAGACTGCTGTTGGCGCTATCAAACGGTTTGTGGGACCGCTTGCAGACCTATTCTTTTTGGACATGGGCATCTTCGCTATGCTCACAAGTTTTGAGGACGAGGACCCCCTTTGCGGTTTTGTCAGATCCACCTTGCATGCTACAAGTTTATGCGCTCACCCGCAACTTCCATGGCTTTGTTCCCGCTTCCGATTCCCAAGCTGAAGATCTTCGAGTCCCGAGGAGGTGGACAGAGGGAGAGAAGAAGGAGGGCAATGGATCAGGCTTTCCACGTCTCAGTGATGGCCTTGAACTACTGGCACTCCGATGGGAAGTTCATCCCCCTTGACTCGATAGCCACGATCCCAAATGATGCTCAGCGAAGGGCCTTGGACAACTTGCGGAGACTCTTCAAAGCCTTTGCTAGCTCTCCGCAACCTTTCAATGTCCCAGCGAGTGGCCGAAGAACCACCCCCCTCATCTCCTTCCTGACCGACCTCTCTGAGTTCGCTACATGGGAGGGCGCCGGAGGAGATGCTTATACCAAAACTTTTCCAGAAGACCCGAACGGCTTGCAGGGAAAGATCGGAGTCCCTCGAGATGTTGAAAGGGCCGAGGAGCTTCGTCCATATCGAGCGCTTGATCCTTCCAGGCTGAAACTGTTTGGCCAGGCTTCTTGGGACATTGAGCCCTACCTCTCCGACCACCTATGGATGGCCTTTGTCGAACCGGCTAGCCTGGTATGGACTACTTCTTTGAACAAGGAGAAGTGCAAGAGTGTTCTTGACCTTGGTCTTCTGGGGGGACGTGAATGGCCTCCTGCAGTTGAAACAAGTGTCGGAAGAGTGCCAGGTGAAAGATCCTGCTATGAGATTCTTCAATGCCTACAAGAACCAGGAAATCGATCGAATGATCGGGGACAGACGTTCCTGGAACTACAGAGAGGGTCGACTAGCAGGAGTCTCGTCAGGTCTTCCTACACCACAGTGCCTCTTCGACCTTGAGATCGACCCCTAGAAGCAACGCCTGTCGATCTGCGCTGGCGACCGCAAGGACTTTTACCACCAGATCCATGTCACTCAGTCCCGGGCCTTCTCAAACTGTCTCTGGCCTCTGCTGGATCTAGCCGACCTCAAGGGTACTAAAGCATTTCAAACCTATGCCCTCTCATCGCAGAAGGCCAAGAGATATTTACGAGACCGTGATGGTGATCTGCTCAGCGAGCTCCCCCGCAGGAAGAAGGGGCTCTTGTGAGAGAAGGTTCAAGCTTGCTTTGGCTACGGAGGGCCACCGGAACTTCCTGATCTCGGAGGGCATTATCTCGTTCCTCCGAGCTGCGTTCCGATGACTACTTCTTTGGGGAGGACCTCGTGACTGGTCTGGTGATCGATGACTTCGACGCTGTATCAATTGAGGACGCAAGCCTTCAGCCTTACAAGCGAGACGACTATCCAACCACTGGAACTGCCTCGAGGGCTGTTGAGAAGATTTTGCAAGGAGGAAGGGCCTATGATGCTGCAGGGCTATTGGGCTCTCCTCACAAGGACGTATTGCATTCAGACAATGCCAGAATCATGGGAGCTGAAGTTGACTCGTCTTCCACACGGGCATTGGGGCTCACGACCGTTGCTGCACCGGCTAGGAAGCGACTGTCACTGGCCTACATCTCCTTGGACTCCTTGGAGCTATCTCAGTTGTTGAGCTTCACGCCAGATGCCCTCATTGCTTGCCTGGTTGGAGGATGGGTCAATGCTTTACTCTACCGGAGGCCGATGATGTCTTTGCTACAGAATGTATGTGAGGTCCCGATGTCAAGCACGGATCAGGAACAGCCAACTCTGATCCCCCTGACGAGAAAGGCCGCTGACGAGTTGGTCCTTTTATCAACTCTTTGCCCCTACATGGTCACTGACCTGGCGGCTGAAATCATAGACACCTGCTACTCCACCGCCTCCTCAGAGGCCAAGGGAGCCATAGTTTCCACAGCGTACCCAGAAGTCTTGCTCGAGCGCTTTACCGAACGGGCAGGAGGAAATCCAGCTAGCTACAACCGGATGCTGTCTCGGCACCGATTCTGAGAAAGATAGACTGGCCCTATGAGGAGAAGGAAGATGAGGCAGGCCTTATTGATGAGGATGACCAAGGGCTTTCAGATTCCACTTCATTGACATCTGTGGAGGAGCTGGGAAAGTCGCAAAGGCTCTAGCTAGCTGAGGATGGGTCGTAGGCCCCGTCTTGGATCTCAGCTTCTCGCCTCACTACGACCTGTCCTCCTTGGACGTTCTCCGATGGATCTACCACCTCATCGAAGCGGGTCAGCTTGACTCCTTCATGGTTGCTCCGCCACGCACAACGTTCTCTCCTGCGCAGCATCCGCCTCCAGGAACTGCACCTGCCCAAGAGGCTATAGAGCCTACAGAGCCCAAGACGCTACTGATGAACCTGGCGGCCGTCCTGAATGTCCCTGGACTCTTGGAACAGCCTCGAAAGTCGAAAATGAGAAAGCTACTACCTCGTGCTCAATGGACTGGCCTCCGAAACATGGACGGCTTCTTGTGGCTACGGTTCCCCACACCTCCACCGACCTTGCAACAGGGGCCACAAACATATTCCTATCGAGGGAAAATGGGCAAAGCCATCAGCCACCTACACCTCAGATGCCCTCCATAGGAAGCTGATGACTTCTGCGTCCAACCTCGAGACTTCAGGACTGGAGAGCCCTATTGTCAATGACGTCCTCCTCTCGTCTACATGGAAGCTGGAGCAAGTATGGACTTGGGAGAAGCCGCTCCACATCAACATCTCCACATCAACATCCAAGAGGCACTTGCTGCAGAAAAGTTCTACAAGCAGTTAGCATCACCCTCCCATGGGCTTCCAAAGGCTTTGAGCAAAGCAGGCTCAACGTTGGTTGCAGGATGCTTGTACGTGTCGCATCATTTTGGGCCCAGTCGGTTGCTGCCTGCTGACCACCCTACCAGGGACAACGATTTTCCTACGCCCACTCGGAGCTTCTTGAGCCCTACAGCAAGTATGACCGAGCTTCTACACTTAGCAAAGGTGTCTGGTCTGAGCCGCTGGGCCTCGAACTGGGCGCGACTCTTCCTCATGGTCTACGGTTGCTCCAGAGACTGGACTTTGGGAAGCCACTCCTGGAGATACGCCCATGTCAACTTCAAGCGCTACCCTTTCCGAGCCTGACGTTCGACGCTACTCTTGGCTTTCCCGGCGAAGGACCTGGTCTTGGGT